AGATGTACCCATAGGGTACGTCTAAACTACATGCCTCCGTCGACGGAGGCATGTAGATTAGACAGATCGGCAGAGGGAAATGAAGCCGCGATTAAAATAATCACGGCTTCATTTAAATTTAAATGGCTGCCCCGCTCTGCTGATCAGCTGTTTGTCGGCAGATCGGGGCAGTCTGGATGCGCCGCGTTGACAAAGAAGCCTTTCTTGATCGGCACAGGTATGCCTCGTGAAACCAGGTTTACCTGTGCCGATCAAGAAAGGCTTCTTTGTCGACGTGGCGCGTCCAGACTGCCCCGATCTGCCGACAAACAGCTGATCGGCAGAGCGGGGCAGCCATTTAAATTTAAATGATGCCGCGATTATTTTAATCGCGGCTTCATTTCCCTCTGCCGATCTGTCTAATCTACATGCCTCCGTTGACGGAGGAATGTAGTCTAGACACACCCATACTGTCGACAAGGCTTCTGTTGACAAAGAGCGTCTAGACTACATCCAGTTCTGTCGACAAAGCAAGTTGCTTTGTCAACATGTGAGTGTAGATGCAAAGGACAGCGTAGATGCAATAATGCCTTCTGTCGACAGAACTCTGTTGACAAAAGGCGTTATTCCTTGTAGAATGAGGTTTACCGCTGTCAACAAAACTGCCGAGTTCTGTCGACGTTATGTTGACAGAACTTGGCGGTAGTGTAGACACAGGTATAGTTTGTCGACAAAAGTCCACTTTTGTTGACAAAACCCTGTAGTCTAAACACATCATTTATGAAAAAGATCAGAGAAGTTCCCCAAAATAATCACTGTTTAGAACAGCGCTAATCTTTAAAGTAAACTTGAAACCTTATTTCAAGAATTGACAGTGATAGAGAAACCCTCATGATCCTCAAGAATTTGTTCCAATACTTAATTACCTTCATTGATATAAATATTTGCCATAATTGCATTCTGAATTTGTCCCATTTGAACTTCCAGCCAATGGATGTTGCCGGACCAAATCTCTGAGGGCTTCTGGAGAAGTGGGAGGAGGTTTGGCATGCTCTGGTCTGGACTGTGGGTTGGCTGCCCCAGGCCTCACCCCTTCTGCCAAATGCCCTGCCCCTTCTAGAACTAACAGAGTGCTATGGGAACTACAGGTTGGATTTTGCTGGACCAAATCCAGGCTTTAGCCTCTTTGGTCCACAGAAGTCTAAATACTTCTGTGGATCTATGCATTTGTGCTTGAGTTCTCCTTTTGTAATATGGGGATAATGGTGTTTTACTACTTCCCAGGTATGTTGTGATGATAAATGGATTAGAGATTATGAAATGGTCAGATAGATGCCCCCCTATTACCACACTATGGGTACATCTAGACTGCAAGCTTCTTTCGAAAGAGAGCATCCACACCTGAAAACCGGATCAAAAAAGTGAGTTGCTTTTTTGAAAGAGAGCGTACAGACTGCATGGACACTCTCTCGAAAGAAAGCTCTGATTGCTATTCACAGAATGGCCACCAGGGCACCAGTGCTTTTTTCGATTGCCTCTTCTTTCGAAAAATGTCCCTGTTCTGCATCCCCACAGGCCTTTTTTCAAAAGAGCTCTTTTAAAAAAGGCATTCTGCCTCGTCATTTAAGGTTTACTAATGTCAAAAACCCCTGTGTTCTTTCAATTTAATTTAGGAAGAACACGATTGCAGTGTGGATGCAGGTGAAGTTTTTTCAAAGAAAGGGCAGTTTTTTCGAAAAACCAATGTAGTCTAGACATATTGGCTACGTCTACACTGGCCCCTTTTCCGGAAGGGGCATGTAAATTTCACTAGTCGTCATAGGGAAATCCGCGGGGGATATTTAAATATCCCCCGCGGCATTTAAATAAAAATGTCCGCCGCTTTTTTCCGGCTTTTAAAAAAGCCGGAAAAGAGCGTCTAGACTGGCCCCGATCCTCCGGAAAAAGTGCCCTTTTCCGGAGGCTCTTATTCTTACTTTGAAGTAGGAATAAGAGCCTCCGGAAAAGGGCACTTTTTCCGGAGGATCGGGGCCAGTCTAGACGCTCTTTTCCGGCTTTTTTAAAAGCCGGAAAAAAGCGGCGGACATTTTTATTTAAATGCCGCGGGGGATATTTAAATCCCCCGCGGATTTCCCTACGACGACTAGTGAAATTTTCATGCCCCTTCCGGAAAAGGGGCCAGTGTAGACGTAGCCATCCTGTGTATCTGGGTTTGGAGGGAACAAGGGGATTCATAGATGAGATGGAGGTTTGTTGATTACTAAACTGTGATTTCATACACATTCCTGTTTTTAGTTCCTTATTTTGGTTTATTTTTCCCAATAAATCCTTTGGACTCAGGAAGCTCTTTGTGGATGGTAAATGCAGATGTCCAACATTTGATCCTCAGCAAACCTGCACGGACCCCGATTCTGCCTTCTGATTCATCTGTGCATCCTGACAGAGCCCCATTGAATGCAGAGTAGCTCTGTCCGGGAGTAGCAGTCAATTTGTACAGATCATAACACAAGATCAGTCCTAAGGAAGTATCCAGCAGATATCTGAGTGGAGCAGACAAGTTCTGTATCTTAATTACTCTCTTCTACTTAATATGAAAAAACGAATAACACTAAAGACACTTGACACTCTGGTGTTTTGAAGGAAGTCTGAGATTCCACATGAAACAAAGACAAAATTCACCAGTAACAAAAACAATTCTGCCAACACAACCTTGATTCCAATTTCCCGCAGTTCAGAAAAGCCGCACCACTCAAAGCTGTGTCAGCTGAAAGATGAGCTATGTTTAGTATGTGTTGCAATCAAAATGTAAACCAGAGGAGTCCTCTCCACATTAGGCAAAATGTGTTTTTGACAGTGTGATATACAGGGCCATCCCTACTGATAGGCAGCTGTGGAGGGCACCTTGAAATTCAGGACACCAAATTGCCCCAATTTTTGTGGTGTCCTAGGCAGCTGCATGTTGCATATGTAGCTATGTCTACATTGTAGCATGTTTGCAAAAGAGGAAATGCAAATGAAGCACTCATTAGCATTTCTCACACTTTCATTTGAATAGTCTCTTCCAATCTGTTTTGTGGAAGAGTTTTTTGTGGAAAAAACCTGCAGTGTAGATAGGGCCATTTTGCACAAAACCCCCTCTTTTGCGCAAGATCCTCTATACCTCCTTTTTCGAGCGATAAGGATGCTAGAAGCGGCTTTAACTGCTGACCCTACAAAACCCCAATGAAATGAAGGGCTGGGGGAAGAGAGACTCCATATCGCACAGCGAGATCCCCAGGGACAGGTAGGTGTGGCCACAGCCTCCCCTCCTCGTCAGGGCCTCCTACTGGCCCCTTCCCAACCACAGATGGGAAGAGAAACAGCTTGCAGTGCAGTCAGTGAGATGGGGAGTCAGGGAATGCCAGCTCTAGCAGACAGCTCCCATTGCCTAGGCAGTCCCCCTACTGGCTGCTCCCAGCCACCCTTCATCAGGCAGTGGTGAGTGGCTTGAGCAGTCTAGAGGATTTGGAGAGACCCAATGATGGGTGAAGGGGAGGGGAAATGGGGCAAATTGCCCCAGGGCCTGAAGATTCAAAAGAGCCCATGGCTCCTGCTAGGGCGGCAAGTGCAGCAACTGGAGCCCTGAGCCCTTTGTATCACTATGGGAATGCTGTGCAGTGCTCTCCAGGTGGCTCTGAGGGCTGCCGAGGGGGGAGGGGAGGAGTGAGAAGGGATAGGAGGGGGCATGGCATGCTGCTATGTGAGGGGCTGTGGGTTGGCTGCCCCAGGCCTCGCCCCTTCTGCTCATTGCCCTGCCCCTTCTTGAACTAACAGGAGGCTATGGAAACTGCAGGTTCATTTCATGCACTCTCTTCGATGAAGCAGCGAACAGTCCTGTGGCACCTTATAGACTAACCAAAGTATTGGAGCATAAGCTCACTTCGTCAGATGCATGTAGTGGAAATTTCCAGAGGCAGGTATAAATATGCAGGCCAGAATCAGGCTGGAGATGAGCAGGGGGATACAATCAGGGAGGATGAGGCCCACTTCTAGTAGCTGATCTGGAGGTGTGAATTCCAAGAGAGGAGAAGCTGCTTTTGTAGTTAGCGAGCCATTCACAGTCTTTGTTTAGGAGATTTATATTACACACTTCACTTCTCTACAGAGGAAAAAGGACTGTAAGCTGTCTAAAATCCTACCTGCCACATGGGGCCACAATAGTGGTACCCCTAACTCACCCAGCAATATCGTCAATCTTTCCAACTACACACTCAGCCCGGCAGAAGAGTCTGTTCTATCTCGGGGACTCTCTTTTTGTGATAGTGAGGTGGAAAGAAACCCAGCATGTACCTGACTGAATGTAAGAATGAGAGAGAAGCCTGAATTCATTCTTAATAAAATTCCACCAACTTACTTGAAAAGACTTTCCTCATTCCACTTGGCCCCTTATTTGTGAGGCTCAGAACTCTTCTTGTTTTTCTTTAACTAAAACTGCTTCTCTCACCCCAACAGTCTTTGTCTATTTCTACCAGAAAAATATCCCCTCTTCAAGGTATATGAGAATGTTATGGATCTTCTGCAGTGTTTCCAGGCATATGCTGTTTCCAAACAGAGCTTGCAGTATCAAGGCAATACAAATGAAGAATTCTGATAAAAATACCTATGGAATTTGGCTAAATTGCATTTTACATGAAGCAAAAGTAATAACAAGCAAAAACAAGTTATGCAGTATTGAATGAGTAATTTAATGAGTGATAGAGAAGTGATAAATCATTTGAAAATATTTCAGGTGACACAGCTCTACTTTTTATTAGGAGAACATTTTCCTATCCCATCCTTTCTTCCCTTTGTGAAAATTATTTCAAGAACAGAAAGGTGCCCAGTAAGTTGGCTCTCAACATGAATGACAATGGAGAAGTCTGGCTCACTGTATCAGTGGGATTGTTTTTGGAATCAGGACTCTATTAGTATATCCCAGCAGGAGACCTTTCAGTGTGTTTTTTTTTTTTTTTTTTTTTTGTAAAGGATGAAGTTGATATTGATCGATAAGAAATCTCAGTCATTAAATGTTGTACAAGTCTAGCATGTGAAATGCTGAATGTCAGGCCCAGAAGAAAAAAAATCTACTACATTTTAAAAGAAAGAATTAAACCAGGATAAAATGTGAGGTGAAAGGCCAGATCCAACAGCCTTTACTCAGATGAGTAATCCCATTGCAGTCAGCAGGACTTCCTAAATAAGGGCAGCAAGATGTGACCTTAATTTTCTAAAAGGTGCTGTCCTTAAACTGAAGAAGTTCCATGATGGGAGGAATCAGAGGCTGTTACTTTATTTCAGTGGTGCAAAGGCAGGAGGCAGGACATTTTTTCTTGACCAGGGGGTGTGAACATCCAAAGAAGCTTTTTAAAGCAGGACAGTTTGAGAACACATCCACATAGTTACAAGGATTGGCTGGAAATGAAGGAGACCATGAGATTAGGCACTAACAAGAGGAGAGGGGAAAAAACCTGACACTGTTTCCTTTAAAGCATATTTTGATGGAATAAGCATTTTTCACTGTATTTTTTGTTCCCAATCAAGCTGTAACAGAAACATTGTTCACTTGGTTTAAGGCATTTTACCAAGTGGAGCAATACTTTGTTTTAATACTGCTTGCTACAAAACAAGTACAAAATGGAACCAGTCAGGTCTGGAGGTCAGGTTCATTTGAACCGGAATAGATCCGTTCTCTTTACGATTTCTCAGGAGAGTTTCGTCTGAAGAATGAGCTACCCAGGTTTACAAGCCTGTACATTCTGCAGTTCTGTTTACAAATACAGGTGAATTTGGTTGTTAGCAAAAGGCACTGACCATCTCTGAGGTGCGGGGGGGAGGAGGAGATGAGAACCCCTGCTTGGGAGGGCACATTAGAGGACAGAATAGATGAAGAGACACTCAGCTATTGGGCCAGCTTTTTCTCACACACCACCTGGCAGCTGCTGTAGGTAGAGTCACTGCAGCAGTCTTAGAAGAAATGTGTTTCTCAGAGGCCAAGGGCCTGATATATAAAACACAAAGGGCTATTGCATGGGCAGTGGGTGAAGGCAAGTCCCCAGCCCCACCTCCAGACCTGCCCCTTCTGCCAAGGCCCCACCCCTCAAGCCTCCTCTGCACTCCTCCCCCTGGGGGTCGCGCCCCCCCCCCCCCCCCAGCCTCTCCAGCCTTGCAGCTCAGGGAAAGGAAGGTGCTGGGGGACAGTAACACTCTGCCCCCAGTGTGCCTACAACAGGCATTTTGGGGGCAGCGTGTGGGCAGGGCCAGGTTGGTGGTTTGGGAAGGCAATGCCTTCCCTCACCTAACAGACTAGCCACCCATGGGCTAGAATATATGACGCTCACTCACATGGTGGAACACTTAGTTCCTCTGAAGTCAATGGAGCTACTTGCATGCTAGTACTCCGCAGGGTCAGGAAAAGTTCTACACCGAGGCCATACTACTCAGAATGACGGTAGGAAAATGCCATTTTCCTCATGGCCTGGACAAATGACTTGTTCTAAAACCCTTGTGGGGACTTTCTCTAGCCATTGTCAGTGTTCAATATTTTTAACATGGACACTGGTTCCCTTTTGTTTTCTAGGAGGTGGAGGTGGGGAACATGATGAGGCTATTCTGATGCACATTAAGCAGCATATGTACAGCTATCTCTATATACGGGATCTCTCTCTATAATGTCCTGCACAGGTTCTCACCAATTTCATAGAATGATTCATTGTGTAGAGAGCCTTACCAAATTCACAGCCATAAAACAGGCATCACAGACTGTGAAATCTTGTTGTCTTATGAAATCTGGTCTTTATTTTGTGCTTTGTAGTCTATACTGTATAGATTTTATAGGGGGAGACCAGCACTTCTCAAACTCGGGGTACTGATCAAAAAGGAAGATTTAGGGGCATTATAAGGTTATTTTAAGGGGGGGAGGATCACCAAATTGCTACCCTTACTTCTGTGCAGCCTTCAGAGCTGAGAGACTGGAGAGTAGCAGCTGTTTGCCAAGCACCCAGCTCTGAAAGCAGCATCTGTCAGCAGCAATGCAGAAGTGAGGGAGGAAATACCATATTATACCACCCTTATTTCTATACTGCTTCTAATGACGGCTCTGCCTTCAGAGCTGGGCTCCCAACCAAACACTGCCAGGCTTGTTTAGTTTGGAAAAGAGCAGACAGAGAGGGCTTATCTATACTATGCTGGGGTGTCGAGGGAGGATATGCAGGTTCTGTGGGAGTTTGCATGTCTTCTTCCAATCTCACTTTCTAGAACTGGACTTTTGAAGGTGGGGGTGGTTTGGATTCGGCTTTTTCAGTGAGACCCTCCCCCTTTGTCAAAAAGCCTCTCTGCCTCAAAAAATGATGTTTATGTGGTTTTTCAACAAAGGGGGAGGTTTGCCGAGGGGGCTGTGTCTGAACTGCTTTCACTTTCGAAGGCTCTGCTTTCAGGGTGGGATCGGGGGAGGGTGTGCGGATTCCCGCTGAATTTGCATATCATCTTTCCACACTTTGGCATAGTCTAGATAAGCCCAGAGACACAATAGCAGTTTACAGGTATCTAAAAGGGTGTCACAAGGAGGAGGGAGAAAAATTGTTCTCCTTGGTCTCGGAGGATAGAAGAAGAAGCAATGGGCTTAAAGTGCAGTAAGGAAGGTTTAGGTTAGACATTAGGAAAAACTTCCTGTCAGGGTGGTTAAACACTGGACTAAGTTGCCTAGGGAGGTTGTGGAATCTCCATCTCTGGAGATATTTAAGAGCAGGTTAGATAGACATCTATATGGGATGGTCTAGATGGTTCTGGGTCCTGCCATGAGGGCAGGGGACTGGACTCGATGACCTCTCGAGGTCCCTTCCAGTTCTAGTGTTCTGTGATTCTGTGATTCTCCAGCTGCCTAGCTCTGAAAGCAGAGCCAATGCCAGCAGCAGTACAGAAGCAAGGGAAGCAATATTACAACCCTCCACCCTTCTACACACACAGACAATAACCTGGCATCTGCTCCTCACAACTCCTTTTAAGGTCAGGATTCCTACAATTACAACTCTGTGACATTTCAGATTTAAATAGCTGAAGTCATGAACACTGTGATTTTGAAATTCCTGTAGCCTTGCATTTGGTAAGATCCTAGTCATATACCTGTGTATATACATATCCAACAGTGTCCTGGCCCATGAGAGTGGCTCCTAAGTGTTATCACAAAACAAATAATAATTATGAATAGAGACAAAGGCCTATTTAGTACAGCATCATAGAAATGTAGGGCTAGAAGGGACCTGTCCCCAGGCTGAGGAGCACGTACCATTTCTGACGTACATACTTAGCCTGTTCTGAAAAAAGTTAAACTTCCAATGATGAGGATTCCACATGCTCCCTAATAACCTGTTTCCATGCTTTACTATATAGTAGGAAATTCCTTCTATCTCCCTGGCTGTGAATGGAGCTGATTACTTCTTGTCCTACCCCGGGAGGCCAGGCAGAACAATCGATCCTATTTTCCTTTATAATGAAACGTGACATGTCTGAAGACTGTCATCGTGTCCTCCACAGTCTTCTCTTCTTCTGGGGACATGAGAACGTGATGACAGTCCCCTGACAAGATAACAACCCCCCTCTCCCACTCCAGAAGCTCTTATGTGAGTCCCTACACATGCTCATTTTTTCAACATAACATGCCTACCAGGGAGCATGTGTAAGGGCCTCGCACTCAGCCTCTGTAGGCAGATTTGATAAGTTCTCAATGCCTTCCTTCAAGGGAATGAAGCATCATTTTAGTGAGTGAAAGTTACGCCCCTGCCATACTTAAATATCAAAAAAACTTACTACATAGTCCATTGTCACAAGCTTTAGGGCAATCTCCACATGCTGGCCCTGCTTTGTAAGGTGTCTTCATTAACTTTCTGTAATTCCCCCTACAATGGTAGAATGAAACAGCATAAAATGGAAAGCCAGTCTTCAGCACACACGTTCATTTACACACAAGGGACATTAATTGCCATCAGAGGCATGATTTGCAGGTTCTGCAGACATCCCCACAGTAGTGTTAGTGTGTGCAAGTGAGTATGTGCTCAGAGGGGTGAGGCAGGCATACAGCCTGAGCTAATGCCAGCCCTAGCACGCTCTCTGCTATTTTTGGCAAGCTATCTAGAATAAAATGAACACAAGCACATCTGCATGTGCTGCAATCACACTCCCTTAGGGTATGTCTACACTACCCCACTAGTTCGAACTAGCGGGGTAATGTAGGCATACCGCACTTGCAAATGAAGCCCGGGATTTGAATTTCCCGGGCTTCATTTGCATAAGCGGGGCTCCGCCATTTTTAAAACCCCGCTCGTTCGAACCCTGTGCCAAATGAACACAAGCACATCTGCATGTGCTGCAATCACACTCCCTTAGGGTATGTCTACACTACCCCACTAGTTCGAACTAGCGGGGTAATGTAGGCATACCGCACTTGCAAATGAAGCCCGGGATTTGAATTTCCCGGGCTTCATTTGCATAAGCGGGGCTCCGCCATTTTTAAAACCCCGCTCGTTCGAACCCTGTGCCACACGGCTACACGGGGCTCGAACTAGGTAGTACCGGTAGTGTACGAGGTGTACCGGTAGTTCGGAATAGGAATCCTTGTCCGAACTACCTAGTTCGAGCCTAGGAGTCCTATTCCAAACTACCTAGTTCGAGCCGCGCTGCACGGGGTTCAAACCAGCGGGGTTTTAAAAATGGCAGCTCCCCGCTTATGCAAATGAAGCCCGGGAAATTCAAATCCCGGGCTTCATTTGCAAGTGCGGTATGCCTACATTACCCTGCTAGTTCGAACTAGGAGGGTAGTGTAGACATACCCTTAGTCTGGTAAATGTCAAACAATAATTTCACATGGCAACATGTAAATATTGAATTGAATTAAGGATTTGTGGACAAAACCACTGTGACTGCTTTAAAAATGTTACCCATTTGGCTGTAATGTTAACGATAGATAGCTTATGGTACTTGCAAATGCTTATGTGCCATCCCTAACAGAGTCACAGTGACTGGCACTGCTACTTCAGAGGAAGGTGTTATAAACCTGGTGGGAGACAGTTATTGGCTAAGAGGCCTTAGGGAAAGTTTCTTGAAAACCCCTATTAGTTGGAAATACCAGAATCATCTTTTCAGTTACCTAGCTGTCAGAAAAAAATGCTTAGAATCTTAGGCAGAGCAGACTGCACTGGACAATTATTGGGGGGCTTAGGGACTGTTTTACTTTGGATTGTAATTTCTATGTGTGCTTTGGTATTCCATTATTACTGCATTGCCTCTTTGTCCATAAGCTCCCTTAAAAATTATGCTAAATGCTGCAATGTCGCTGACAGACTCTTGGATCATTTCAGTGAAATAAAGCACAAAGGAGTTCCCATAATCAATGACATTAATACATACGCTGGGCAGTAATGGCAAACATAATAGTAGTTGAATTCACTCTCAAGACAAACGGCAATTGCACATCCAACCTGGTAAGATGTGTACCAAACCACCTGGAGAGAGAAAAAGTAAACACATGAGTAAGTATTAGGGACTCTTGTATTTTTAATACAGGAGGTGCCCAACTTACAAACTGGCAGTGTTCCAAAAGTTGTTTAGAAGTCAGCTGTTTGGAACTTGGAATGCATTTTCATATAGAAACAAGGCTCTACATCGTGGTTAGGTTCCCAGGCTAGCTCACCAAAGCTTATTAACCCATAATGATGATGAAATACAGTGTATTTTCAATGAAAAATAGTAGACAAGAATACTGTTGCAATACTAGTAATTAAACAGAGAAGAAAAACAGTAACATTGACTCAGAAAGAGTTTTTGATTTAACAGTGAATGCTGGTGCTTGAGGAAGGGCAGGTTTAAACAGAATGTCGAGGGGCACAGCCCTCTCGGACGGGGGTCACTCTGTAGAGTTCCCCGTGAGCCTGTTTGTCGGGGTCCACACGGCCCTAATGACTGGGGCCAGCATAAATGACACCCCTCTGTCAACGCCAATCTGGCCCTGCGGCCTAGTCTCTGTAAGTCTCCCCTCTCAGGGTAAATACAGCCTTGTGGCCTAGTCCTTAGGCTTTCGGGACTTCCTCTGCTCCAGAGCACTGTAGAGGGAGGGGGAAGAAGAGAGGGGACCCGGGCCCTCCCACTCCACCGGGTCCCAGCCCAGAGCTCTATTAGCAGTGGCTCAGTCCTCTGCCTGCTCAGCCAGGAGTTTCTCCCCTCATCCTGCCGAGCACCCGGGCTGTGGCTGCAGCTGCGGCTGCGGCAGTGTCTGCTGGGGTTCTAGTGGCTGTGGCGTCGGTTCAGGCTGTGTGGGCTCCTCTGGCTCTAGAGCTGGCTCTGCAGGTCCTTCCCCTTCAGCAGTAAGCCCTGAGTGAGCTGTCTCAGGGCCTTTTATAGTGCTGCTCACCAGGGAGCATGCTCAGCAAGGCCGAGGGGGAGGGGCACTCTCAGCCAGCTGGGTCCCACCCACAGGCTGACCTACAGTGCAGGGCCGGGGCGCCCCATCACAGAGAGGAAGACGAGGAGGTAGGTGGAGATCCTGAAAGGGGACTTCTGGATATCCCCGGAGCACAGGGCTAGATTAACTCTTCTGGGGCTGTTAGATTTTGGGGGAGAAGGAGGCTTAGGCTCTAGAGTGATGCCAAAATTAGGCATTCAGAATGCAGGAGGGGGCTGTGGGTTGAGACAGGGGGTTGCCTGCAGTTGGGGTTGAGCGCTCCGATTGGGGGTGTGGGATGTGGGTTTGGTTTGAGGATGAAGCCTTTGGGGTAGAGGAGGGGGCTCCAGGCTGGGGCCCACAGTTTTTGTGTGGGAGAGGGCTCAGGGCTGGGGCAGAGGGTTGGAGGGTGGGACATTTAACTGGGCAGCTCCCCTGTGGTGGCTCAGGCCGGGGGAAAGGAGGCCAGGGCAGGGCAGGGCAGGTGGCTTTATGTGCTGGCCTGCTCTCGTCTGCAGGCACCGCCCCTCACAGCTCCTTTTTTCCCCAGATTCCCAGCTAATAGGAGCTGCTGAGGCTGAGCCTTCAGGTGAGGGATGAAGGGAAGCTCCCCAGTGCTTACTGCTCCAACCCTGGGGAAGGGGCAATGGCAGAGTTAGGAGCCGAATCCCCTCCTTGCCAAGCAAGGTCAGAACTCAGGATCTTTAGCACCTGCAGCTCTGATCCTGGGAGTAAGAGGGGCCCATGAAAAGATCCACATTTTTGGTGTCCCAGAAATCTTAGCCTGGGTCTCTAGGCTGCACCTTAAACCCCTGTGTTAAGCCAGCCCTGGCCGGCTCCACCCCCTGCCCCCCATGCACTCTGTGCTGGCTCCTACAGCCAGCCACATGCCCTGCCTCACCCACAGGATCACCACCAGCATGGACAGCCCCAGGCCTATTCCCCAGCTGCCCATGGGATCACCACCAGCTCAGGCAGCCCCCCTTCCCCGCCTGTGGGATCAGCACCAGCTTGGGCAGCCTCAGCCCCAGCCGCCTGAGGGCTCAACATCAGCTCCAGTTGGCCCTAGCTCCATCCACCAGCAAACTCCCTCTTCCCACAGGCTCAGCATTGGGTTGGGCAGCCCCCAGCTCCATCCACTGGCAAACCCCACTCTCACCTCGGGCTTAGCATTGGCTCCAGCTGCCCCCTGTCTCCATCCTTTGGTTCAGCACAGGCTCCGGCCATCCCAGCCCCATCTTCCAGCCGTGACCCTACGGTCTCTACAACCAGCCTTCCCCATCTGCTCACTGGGAGGTTGTCTGAGCACAGGCTGGAGGAGAGGGGAGCCCCTACATGGCTGGGCAGGGCAGCTGGGGGATGGGGCTAAGAGGAGGGTTGCTGGGCGGGGCAGCATTACATGCCAAAGCCATGCTGAGCCTGCAGAATTGTGTTTGTGGGGTGGTCATAACTCAAACATTTGTAACTTGGTGAGTGTCTGTCTAATAAAATATACATTAATAAACATTTTCTAAATTAACTTGAGATTTGGGTATATTATTTTATTACATGGTATGGCAGAATATGTTACATCTTCTAGGAAAAAACCCGAACCCTGTGTTGTTTTCATATGGTCTTATTTAACCTTCTTAGAACCAATCTGGGATCTAATGGGGATGAAACCAAGTAACATTGTAGATCCTCAGTCACGTGGGGTGTGTCTGGGCTACAGGGTTTTGTCGACAGAAATGGACTTTTGACGACAAACCTATACCTGTGTCTACACTACCGCCGAGTGTCGACAGAACTCAGCAGTTTTGTCGACGGTGGTAAACCTCATTCTACGAGGAATAACGCCTTTTGTCGACAGAGTTCTGTCAACAGAAGGTGTTATTGCATCTACACTGTCCTTTGTGTCTACACTATCATGTTGAGAAAGTGGCTTGCTTTGTCGACAGAACTGGATGTGGTCTAGATGCTCTTTGTCGATGGAAGCTTTGTTGACTAACGCCTTTTGTTGACAGAGTTCTGTCGATAGAAGGCATTATTGCATCTACACTGTCCTTTGCGTCCACACTGTTATGTTGACAAAGTGGCTTGCGTTGTCGACAGAACTGGATGTGGTCTAGATGCTCTTTGTCGATGGAAGCTTTGTTGACAGTATCTGTTAACAAAGCCTCTGTCGACAAAAGCCTGTAGTCTAGACGTACCCTTGGGCTGTGTCTAGACTGGCAAGTTTTTCTGGAAAATCATCTGCTTTTCTGGAAAAACTTGCCAGCTGTCTACACTGGCCACTTGAATTTCCGGAAAAGCACTGACGATAGCATGTAAAATCATCAGTGCTTTTCCAGAAAAACTATGCTGCTCCCGTTCGGGCAAAAGTCTTTTCCCAAAAGACTTTTGCCCAAAAGGGCCAGTGTAGACAGCATAGTACTGTTTTCCACAAAAAAGCTCCGATCGCGAAAATGGTGATCGGGGCTTTTTTGCGGAAAAGCGTGTCTAGATTGGCCACGGATGCTTTTCCGCAGAAAGTGCTTTTGCGGAAAAGCATCTTGCCAATCTAGACGTGCTTTTCTGAAAATGCTTTTAACGGAAAACTTTTCTGTTAAAAGCATTTTCGGAAATTCATGCCAGTGTAGGCGTAGCCTTGGTGTTTTTAATCAGGACATATACATACAAACATGTACACTGGTTCAACCACAAATAGTTGGATGAAGTGCAGGAATCATTAGATAAAATTAGCCGCTGTGTGTTGCACACAACTGGTGAGACTAGGTAGTCATAATGTCCCCTTTTGGTCATGAAATTTAAGATGATACAGTTGTGCAGGATAAGCCAACCTACAATTGTTTATCCCCTTGGGGTTCTTATCTTTTCCCTCATCCCAGGAATAACCAAATGCTCCATTCATGGAGTAACCAAACAGCAAATTAAAAAAAATACAAATAAAGTCTCCCTCACACTTTCTTCCTACCTAGCCTGTAGGGGCATTAGCTTGATTAGTTTATAATTGGTGCATTTTAATGAACTTGTATATGTCTGAAGAATTCACTGAAGGAAAGCTAAGGGAAGATTATGGTGATTTAGGGCCAGATTCTGCTACCAATACAGCAACAACATTATTTCCACAAGAAGAAAAATCTCTGCCAATATGGTTACAACTTAGAGAACTTGGTCTAACCTAGGGTTAAATAATAGAGTTTTCCACTGCATCTCTCAGTGTAATAGACTTCACTGTGAGGAGTCTAATAGTCTGCAGTTTATATATTGCCCCATTACATTTGCTGTGTTGAAATAATTCTTATCCTCCATGGTGTTTATTCCCTTTAAATGCATTGAGGCTGCTTTTTCTACTACTCCTGGTATTCACTTAGCCAAATATATATGACTTAAAGCACAAATTTAATAAGTGGTACCATCGTCCCTACCTGAGTATAATGGCCAATCACTGCATCTGGTGTGGTTGGCCCAGTGCCATACACAAAATTTTCCACCTCACTGTACCAGGATTGAATTGCATCTGACCAGGAATGGGGTTTAGTTGACATGTAGAGATTTTCACCACAGCCCGTACCTGAAAATAGAAAGGAAATAATTCACAAAGCTTCATGAAGGGGATTTATGTGAAAGCCCTTGCATGTTCTTGTGGGGAGAAGCAGTACAAGATTCAGAAATTTCCAGGAGAGTCATCAATCTGTGACATCAATGAAAAGGGGTTTACGTTCACACAAAGCACTTTTCGTATTATTAGAACTCTTTGGGGATAATGAGTGGGAGGAGGGATATTGAAGAGGATAAAACTAAAAAGAAAATCCCCAATTTTTCTTCAAAAATTAAAAATTGTGACATTTCAGTGAATTGTTTCTTTTTTTAATGTTGAAATTTATATATCTAAATATAATGCAGTCTTATTGTAGAATAGATTAATCCATATACTCCAATGTTATAAATGTTGTTCATTTAGTAAAATATTATTACCACTTAAATATGAATTGGGTTACATCATGTGAAAATATTTCTTATAATGGGTTCAATAGTCATTGATTGTTTAAAACTGACACTTTACTTACTAGTTGATCGCTCAGCTGGGGGACTGTGGGATAAAGTGCATTCATTTGCCCAACGCTTGGCATTCTTGGCAGCTGCATGACTCCATTCCTTAATGAAATGAGAAACACCCGATGGTCAGATGTGCATCTCTTAGTACTTCAGAATGTGGAACAATATAGTTGGAAATTGCATTTTCCACGTTTAAAATCTTTTGGACAATTTCTTTTTCATTAGGATGGTAAAAGGAGAAGCAACTCAATAGCTGCAGACCTCAGGTGGAAGCTAGATATTAGGGTGATTAATTTGATGGAGAATACATAGGGCATCATGGAACACCAGACGCTCTTGGTTTTTCTCTTCTCTTCAAAAGAAGACATTATTCATGGAAAAACTTAAAAAACAAGAATAGTCTAGCAGCATCTTAAAGACTAATAAAACATGTAGATGGTATCATGAGCTTTTGTGAGTACATCTGAAGAAGTGTGTTATACCCACAAAAGCTTACGGTACCATGTACATGTTTTGTTAGTCTTTAAGGTGCTGCTAGACTATTTGTTGTTTAATCTGTCAGTTACAGATTAACTCGGCTACCCCTTTGAAATTATTGTTCATGAGCAGCTAGATTTGTCATATCCAATCTGCTCCCTTCCCTTGATAATTCTAGGGTTCTTCAATATTTTGGGGAGGGAAGGATTCAAATGACATGTTTCTGCCACGTGGAATGCTGTGCCATTGCAAATTTCCGAGTAACAGAGTCTCTATGCATTACAGATTGCTTTGCAAAATACTTCTTACCATCCTCAGCATGTTGCGAGCGGTCGGCTTAACCGCTCTCCTTAGGGCATTGTGCTTGTCAACAATCTCCTTTTGTTGAACCGCATTGTCAGTTGACAGAGAAGCTACATTTGAAATCTAAATAAATAGAATGTACAATCATTTTTCTTGTATTGGTTCTGTGAATCGGAAATATTGTATACACAAATATAGGAATCGACTCCAATGAGTGTGTTTTTGAAATATTTCATGAACTAATTATGTTTATGAACTTAATTTCATCAGAATAAATCTGTCAATCAATCATCAATTCATTAATTATAGATCAGACTCTATGTGATATCTTCAGGTATGATACTAATAAGCACAATTTAGCAGTTAGAAACTGATAGCATTATCTAATCTTAGAATTTTTAGACTCTCAAGTTCTTTGAAATATATCAAGCCAAATACAGGAGATGGGGAGGGGAACCCTCCACAGAATATATTATTCATCCCTTTATTTACAGCCTAATTGCTCATAGATTGAGGATCCCATTGTGCTTGGCACTGCATAAACAAGCACAAAGAAATTGAGATATGAAGCTATGTGACAGTTAAGCATCTCTTTAAAACATTTTATGGAAGACATGTTGAAAGTCTTACTTCTTTCACATCCATGAAAATACCCCAAAATGCTCCCAGTTATGAACCTCTAATCTCTAATCTCTGAATTCTTACTGCATATTTGTGTCATGTCACTTTTCCTTTGTAACGCTCACTAAGCCAAGCATATTAATCCCTGATCCTATGATAACATCTTCATGTGCCTGGCTTTACTGACGATAATAATTCTATTGCTATTGAGAAGATAACTCATATGAGTAACAGATGGGAAAATATTTGCAGGATCTGTTCTTTACTTCAGTGTTTCTCAACCAAGAGTGTGTATACCCGTGAGAATACGCAGATGTTTTCCACAAGCACATCAACTCATCTAGATATTTTCCTAGTTTCACGACAGGCTCTAAAAAAAGCATCAGCAAATTTTGTACAAACTAAAATTTCATGTAGATAATGGCTTGTTTATACTGCATTATATACTATAAATTGAAATGTAAGTACAATATTTATATTGTAACTGAATTATTTTATAATTATATTGTAAAAAGGAGAAAGTCAGCAGTTTTTCAGTAATAGTGTACTATGATACTTTCGTAATTTTTTTCTGGGGTAAGCAAGTAGCTTTTAAGTGAGGTAAAACCTGGGGGTACACAAGACAAATCAGATTCCTGAAAGTGGTACTGTAGTTTGGGAAGGTTGGAAGCCATTGAATTAGTTTGCCATGAACACTTATGCCATTTAATGGACTTAATCTGATCTGAGTGCTTGCATTCATTTAGGAATTTAACTGAGCTTAACATTTCACTCCTCTTCCCCCCCAGAATGGTCAAAACCAACATGAAGGCTGTCTACACTGGACCCCTTTTCTGGAAAAGGGATGCAGATGAGACAAGTCGGAATTGCAAATGAAGCGGGGAGTTAAATTTTCCCCTCTTCATTTGCATGAACATGGCTGCCACTTTTTTCCAGCTCGGGGCTTTGCCGGAAAAAAGCGCCAGTCTAGATGGGGATCTTTCAGAAAATAAAACCTTTTCCGAAAGGTCCCTTATTACTCTTAAAATCAGGAATAAGGGACCTTTCAGAAAAGGCTTTATTTTCTGAAAGATCCCCATCTAGACTAGCGCTTATTTCCAGCAAAGCCCCGAGCCGGAAAAAAGCGGCAGCCATGTTTATACAAATGAAGCGGGGAAAAATTAAATACC